TTAGATTTTCTACTCAGTCATTATCAACCCTAACCCCAAAATCCCGTCTGGCTGCTCTGAGCATAGGCAGTGATAAAAGCTGTACTTATATATGCTGTTTATTAGGACTGTCTTTTTTCTGTTAAATGGGGTGAGCCAAACATGCAAGTGCACACTAAACTCCAAAATGAGGCACTGCAGATGTTGTTGATAGTTTTCCCCTCTCTCCTCATTCCTTTTTTAGCGTTTGTGCTTAAATACATCTGAGCCACATCTTTCTCCAGCCTGCTTTACAACTGTTTGCATTTTAACAAGGTTTGTGAGACGGCCCTCCCCACCCAGAGTCCGGACAAGTTGCCAAGAGACAAACCATAAGAAGGAATTTCAGGACCTCAGTAAATCTTTTGGTGGGGGACTCTGGCAAATACAGACAAGCACATTTCAGTCTTCAGCACAACAGTTTAGTACATTAAAGTCCCATACATCATGAGAAGAGTTTATTTTGTGGAAGATAACGGGACATTTTTATGTGACACCACTAAAGGATTCGGCTCTTTCAGCAGGTGGTACTTTGCTGTTTGGACCCTAACAGAAGTGGAAATGTTGCTATGATTCCACCGTCTGCCTATGAGGTACTCTTTGGTGACCGGGACTTAAGAAACGTTGTGGTCATCATCCATCTATGGCCTCAATGTTGGGAAATGAATAGAAGTTTGTTGGGCAGCCTTGCTGGGAACAAGTTAATGTGTGTTTCCACTTTAAACTTTAGAGTTTATGTCACTTGCTAAAAACCAAATTGACCAGCTTGTGTATGCAGGCGAAGGGGAACATGGTTGTTTATCTTATGACTGACGTAATTCTGTGATTAGCTCTGGGTTTTTAAGCCTGCGCTGTCTGTCTCCCTCACACAAATGTGCTGTCTGAACCAGACAGGCGTCGCAGCTGACCTGAGACGAGGCACATATGAACTCAATTTTCTCCCACAGACGACCCAAAAAAACAACAACCGTCTACCAAAAATGCAAGCTGACGAATGCAGATAGGAAGGAAATAAATAAAAACTAAACAAGCAGGAAGCGATGTGGTTTAGATGAAACGATGCTTGGAGGGCAGGCGGCTGGAATTTAGCACATCTGTTACTTTGGCATAACTCTAAATCATGTGCAACTTTTTCAGAGCCAGAATGATGGACTGAATGTAGCTGTGTTTGCTCGAAGCTTAATCACATTTTTCAACAAAGGTTAGAACATAGAATATTCTAATGGCCAGAACTCTGCAGTTTTCACTCGTTTACAGGCCAGCGGTCACTCTTTCAGAGATGAGGATGTTCTCATCTTGATAGGGAGGAACGCTGGTTTGAGAGAGGAGTAAAAGAAGCCATTTTTGTGAAGAAAGACCGTCCATCATTAAACAGAGGTGGGGGCCTCCATTTTCAGTTGTCCCCCTCCTACAGCGCTGCCAATGGCAGTATCACTCCACCCCCTGTTAACAATAGGTATTAATTAGGTGTGAACGATAGCCATGTGATGTGAGTATCAGTCACATGGAGGCAGGACTCAAAAGCCTGAATTTTGCCTGAAACTCTCAGACTGAAGAAGTCTCTTGGAGGAGAGACGAAACGTTTCATTAAAGAAGAACCCGTCCAGAAGAACTATACAATTTTTTTCCTTTTGATTTTTTACCTGGATTACTGAGATGTATCAGGACAACATAGAATATATTCCTCTTATTAAAGTGATCCACATGTACCTGTAACATTTGACTTTATTTGATAAATATTTATTTTTAAAAACATGTCACACGGAGCCATTTTATTTACACACAAAACATTCTGGGTAAATGATGATGTGGATAGGTCCTCGGTGCGAGGCTGCTAGCGAGCTATATCCACCCTGAAGGTTAATCTTGGACAATATCTGACGATCGACTCTTTTAAATGAAACCAGAGAGCGTTGACAGAGAGGAGAAGGTAGAAATGACTCAGCCTGGAACTGAAAATGTGGATGGAGGACCAAGGGGTGTGGAGGATTGTGGATCCCTGTAAGGAGTGACGATGCAAAAGCATTATTATTCTGTTGGATTTATTTTTATTGTCGGTTTAATTGTAATGTTTGCACACTTCAACCAAAGATATATGATGTGATAAGGTTTTGACACTTTTTTGTAGGTTGGCGGCTGAAAATCTGGAAACCAATAGCTAAGTTCATCACAAAGGTTAGTTGGGCAGTGGCTTTATTGGCACTTTTCTAGATTTCTTTGGAATATTTTTTTCAGTGTATTTTGTTTCAAAGTTGCAAAGTTGAGATGAATAATGAGATAACTACATTGTTTCAAATTTTTTAGGCCCAGAATTTCACCGAAACCTTTAAAAGCAAACAGCTTTTTATGTGTCTTAACAATTGGGCGAGAAGCATTTAGAACTTGTTTACGAAACTGTACAGTTCTGTGATATTATTTATGGGTTGATTAGTTTAACACAGTTCTTCATAAACAAATCTGTTATGTGTTGCGCAACATTAAGGCTTTGGGAATTTACTTGTGTGAACATCTCAGACAAAGCAGTTTCTACATCTGAGGCCAAACTAGATTATGCTTTTCAGATCCCCGCCCCCACCCATATCATACATGCATCCAGTCTGTGTTTATGTTGCAGTTCATGTTATTGACAGAGTTAGGAGTTTATCAAAAAGAAAAAAATAAGTAGGTCCTCTGAATGGGTTCTTCTTTAGTGAAACGTTTCGTCTCTCCTCCAAGAGACTTCTTCAGTCTGACGAGTTTCAAGTGAACTCAGTCTTATAAGCACTGCCTCCACCTGGACAAACAGGTTAGTCACATGCAAAAGAGGGCCATCGCCTAACAACACGCTTGGTTAGCTCTATTGTTCATAGAGGGTCATGTGCCCCATCACCTGACTTATTGGTTTGGATGCTGTGGTTCTTAGGTGTTGTGTTATGTGTATGCAGTGAATGCAGGCGGGGCTCAATGCCCCCTTGTTTTTGTCTTTTTTTCCCTCTTTGTGTTGGTTATCGTTGGGGCCCTGATTCACACCTTTTGCTCCCAGGGAACTGAGTCATACTTGCAGCATTGTAGGAGGAAGACAACTGGACACGAAGGCCTCCACCTCTGTTTAACGGTGGATGGTTTTTCTTCACAAAGATGGCTTCCTTTACTCCTCTCTCAAACCAATGTTCCTCTCTATCAAGGATGAGAACATCTTCATCCCTGAAGGAGTGACCGCTGGCCTGTAGATGAGTGTAAACTGCAGAGTCCTGACCTGACACCTAAGAACCACAACATCCAAACCAATAAGTCAGGTGATGGGGCACATGACCCTCTATGAACAATAGAGCTAAGCAAGCCTATTGTTAGGCGATGGCCCTCTTTTACTACTAACCTGTTTGTCCATGTGGACGCAGTGCTTATAAGGCTGAGTTCACTTGAAACTCATCAGACTGAAGAAGTCTCTTAGATGAGAGATGAAACGTTTCACTAAAGAAGAACCCATCCAGAGGACCTATTTTTTTATTTATGATTTTTTCTACCTGGATTACTGAGATGCATCAGGACGCTATGAGTTTATATTTGTTGTCCTTTGTCTTTTTGTTCTCAATAAGAAGTATGTGATTCAGTAAACTACAAAGTATAACTGTAATAAATGTTACCATTGTGTTTTCATTCACCCATCCTAAGACGGTATGGCACCAACTCTCTGCCCATCAAAAAGAAAAAAATTGTGACTTCTTCAGTCGGAAGAAGTCTCTTGGAGAAGAGACGAAACGTTTCATTAGAGAAGAACCCGTCCAGAAGACCTACACAATTTTTTTCTTTTTGATTTTTTACCTGGATTACTGAGATGCATCAGGACTCTCTGCCCATCTGTTTGCAGTTTTATTGTCTGAGCTCCAAATTCATAACGTTTTACCACAGAAATGTCAAACTGCACAGCTGGACACCTCATGGGTCAAAGGTAGATTCCGAAGTCTTGAGGTCAAAGATCAAGGTTACAGGTGACCCCCTTTGTTAAAATCTTGCTGATGCTCCAGTTTGACATCCCTGTAACAGAAATAACAAACCCTTTGTTTCCTGTATAATATTCCTCGTCCTTGGTGTAACTCCACAAATGTTGTGGCTCAAAAATGTCGTCAACTATGGCTCCACATCGGACGTTATTTTTCTTAAGACCACTTCCTCCAAAAAAATATTGAATGGTACTCATAAAGTCTACTACTTTGATCATGAAGTAGTTTGATAGGCTGGTGGGTTTTTCACATTTCAACTAATTGCTGAAGTTTCATGTTCTTACATGCCTTTTAAGTGAACTGTTTGTTGATTTATACCATGAACGACATGATTATCAGAATTTGAAGTTTCAGCCGACCCCAACCATACAGTATATACACATTACAGTATTCAGGATTGTTACGCGATGTAAGTCATGCTTTGGATTTTAATTACGTTGAGAATTTGCTGACGGGTATATAAAATACCATTGGGGGCACTTTTATTTGTTTTTCCTTCTTTTTGTTTAGTCTTTCAATTCGTTTTTTAAGTTTAGATCCTAAGATATTACTTTTTTACTTGAGCAGAGTGTTTTGTTATATTCCTACCCGGAGACGAGCACTCGAGACAATATAAAGCCTGCCAGTAATAACACAACTGGGCCAGTCTACTTACCCCTTGGTTTATTTTTCTACCAGTAAATTACATGGACCAAAACCCCAGCCCTTTGAATGAATCATGTTTGGACAAAAATAACAAAACTGGTACAAATAACAAAACTGCTTTCCTGCCAGTCATTATGAAAGTTTGGTAAATGGCAACACTTTTAGATCTTTTAGCCGAGTTTTCGCCCGGGATTCCCCACATAGTCCTGTAATCACACAGAACATGCTGAGGCCAAGAGACTCCCCTTCATGATTCCACAGCTTTGATAAACCATCATCATACTCAGACACAGTCGGTCTGTGCTGTGCCTTTTTAATTTCTAACTATAATCACTTCCTGTTTCCCCCACCCTGCAGCTGCTGAACACAGTGACAGTATCAGAGAAGCGTTGGCGAGCCCGATCGCGAGCAGGTGGAGCGAACGAGTGGAATGATGAGGCTGAGGAGGGATTCACGAGCGGCGACTGTGATGATGAAGACGAGTGTGCCGGGGTGTCAGGGCTGGGGCCGCCACCGAGACGCAAACGTTTGCGCATCTTTGCAGGTTAGACACACAAACTCCAGATCATAAATCTCAGAATTTACTACAAGTGATCATTTAGATGTTTTGAAGTGGTGTTCTTTGTGGTGAACAATTAACATCTTAGCTGTTGTAGATAGCTCTTTGAGTCACCCAGGTTTGGATAAAAATGAAAATAATAAAAGATAATAATAATCATAATAATAATAATATTTTACAAGGTAAGTCAACTGAGATTCAGTTCTCATTTACTATGACTACTTGGTCAAAAGACATATTAATAACATAAAAACACAAATCAGACAGTATAAATCAACATTTTAAAACAGACTATTCACAAACCAAAAGAAAGAATGACAAGATCGATGAGCCATCAGCTATTCAGAGTGGGACGACCAAAGTGGATTGCTGATAGTTTAGTTTAAAACAACCCAGTTCTCAGAAATTGTATAAACTGCTACAATTTCACATTACACACTCAGCTAATTCACCAGAAACATTCTGATAATTCTGCTAGACTGTTACAGCTAGTTGCTGCCGCTATTAGCTTCCACTTCTTTTTTGGATGTTCCCTCTTCTGAGGTCACCACAATGAGTCATCCTTCTCCATCTCTGTCCTCTGCATCCTCTGTTCCCTCTCCAACTACCTCCATGTTCTCTCTAACTGCATCTGTATAGTTCCTCTTCGGCCTCGCATAGGCTAGCAATCAACTCGTTATGTTCAGTCTCCAGTGCCCTTAACAGATAATCACTGTAGTAGAATATGTTGGCTATATGTTTTTTTTTTTTCACATTTGGCCCAAGCAAGTGTGAAAAAAAGGATAAAATAACCACCCAGACATGCAGACACTCGAACATACTGTTGAAAAGGTATTTTAATTTGTGACAATAAAACAAACTTTAAACTGTTCACCAGTTTTTCAGTTGTGCTGATAAGTCACATAAAAACCAGAGTTAAGATGAATACTGTATTTCCCAACACATCTTTTCTCTGAATTATTGTCATATTTGAAGCTGTGGCCGCAGAATGATACGTCCATCCTCCACCTCCATCGACCAAAAAAAAAAACATCCCAGCACAACTTATTTATCAGATGTATAAAAATCTACAGTAAGAAGAATAAAAACATGCAGATGTTAAAGGGAGTTCATTGTGTTGTTCACTGAGTCGATTGTGAGGACGGAGAACTGAGCCCTAACATATTTTCCTCAAAGTACCTCTTTCTAACTTCCAAACCCAGCTGAGATCATCTCTCACTACTCCCCACCTCTCCCAAAGACACATTTAACCTTTACCTTTTTATCAATAAGATCAAGAATACAGTAATAGGCATAGTTACAAACTTTTATTTGGAAAGTGTTTTAGTTATTCAAATGGAATTGTTTTAGTGATTTTTATATACAGACAAATTGATATTTTCACAACCTCTGAGCAGACAAAGTTATGATCCCCCTGTGCTCTTTGACAGCCCCCCAAGGCTGGGAACCACTGACCTAGAAAATTATCTCATGGTAAAGAAAAAGTTGTGTATAGAAGTTCGGTTTAATTCAGTTTATTTATGTAGCGCCAAGTCATCTCAGGGCACTGTACACAAAAAAACCACAAATCTAAAGAAGCCAGCAGATTGTGTTGAATTATCACTTCGTCACAGTCTCCCATCCTGAGCAGCACATTGGTCACAGTGGAGAGGAAAAACTCCCTTTTAACAGGAAGAAACCTCCAGCAGAACCAGGCTCAAAACCGCCTGGGTTTGGTGACACAGGAAAGTTGTGCGCTACATGGGTGGAAATGGATCATAATGTAGGCTAATGTTAAAGGGATCCCAGATTAGTTGTAACATTAGACTTTATTTGATAAACATTTATTTTAACTGTAAAAAAGACTGTAAAAATACTGTAGGCTGTTTAGTTTTGTAAATTTTTAAAAATATATTTTAACATGGACGGAGCCATTTTATTTACACACAAAGCATTCTGGGTAAATGATGACGTGGATAGGTCCTCGGTGTGAGCGAGCTATATCCTGGACAATATCTGACGATCGACTCTTGTAAATGAAACCAGAGAGCGTTGACAGAGAGGAGAAGGTAGAAATGACTCAGCCTGGAACTGAAAATATGGATGGAGGACAACAGAGCTGCTTCATGGAAGAAGAACCCCAGCTTAGCCTGTTAGCTTTAGCGTTAACCCTGATGCTATCACCATATATATAAACTCAGCGCTACACATTCTCCTCTCGTCGCTGAGGTCCTCCATCCACATGACAGAGAGGGGAACACAAAAATGACTCAGCCTGCAACTGAAAATATGGATGGAGGACCTCAGTTTAGCTTATTTGTCGCGCTAGCGCTGAGCTAATACATATAAGGCAATATAGCGTCGGTGCTAATGCATAGGCTAACGGGCTAAGCTGAAGTTCTTCTTCCATGAAGCAGCTCTGTTGTCCTCATCTATATTTTCAGTTACAGGCTGAGTCATTTCTACCTTCTCCTCTCTGTCAACGCTCTCTGGTTTCATTTAAAAGAGTCGATCATCAGATATTGTCCAAGATTAACCATCAGGGTGGATATAGCTCGCTAGCAGCCTCGCACCGAGGACCTATCCACATCATCATTTACCCAGAATGCTTTGTGTGTAAATAAAATGGCTCCATCCATGTTAAAATATATTTTTAAAAATTTACAAAACTAAACAGCCTACAGTATTTTTACAGTCTTTATTTTACAGTTAAAATAAATTTTTATCAAATAAAGTCTAATGTTACAACTAATCGGGGATCCCTTTAAAGTCCACAGCATTTTTTAAATGATTTTTCAGACTTAAAAATGCCTTTCATATGAAAAACCTTTACATTCAAGCCCACTAAATAAATCAGCGTTACTTCATCAGTGAATTTGGCTTCAGAGTCAGAAGGTCTGAACACAGGCAGGTCAAAGCAGCAGAGAGGTGTTTACAGGACTACTGTACATGTTGACACCTCTGTGACACCATGCTGCAGGAGTTGTGAGACTTCCGCCAGTAGCCGTCTGCTTGACCTTGTGACCTCGCTGGCGTTGGGCCAATAAAATACAAAAAAAGTGGAACAATGAGCAAACAGAAAGAAAAATACATGAAACTGTTATAAGAAAACAAATCAAACAGAAGAAAACAGTAAGAACAAGAGGGCTGGATGAGCCAATGCAAAGCCAGCACAGCTGAGCAAACATGGCAGTGGGAGTAGTCCTGCAGTCGGAGATGTTGTGGCAAACCTTTGGGTTTGCCGGGCAGGGAGTGAGAGAGGTTTCACTCAAAAATCCTGCAGGGCCATCACTTCCAGCAGGCTGGGCCGTGAGAGTCTGATGGCCTCTGTTGGCTGTGCTGTTAGCTGCTCTGTGCCGAGTCATTACACTGTCTCCTCAGATTCACAAGCTGTTGAAAGCTCCACTTTAGACTTTTATCTGATCTGTTCAGAGGATCATGAATTAGCCGTTTGTGCTTTCAGTCTTCACGCTCCTCATGAGGGTTTGTGTCTGCAGGCACATTCACCCGCCTGTGCCTTGTTTGTACATCAGCGCTTTGTGTTTGTAGAACTCGAGGAGTCCCTGCTCATTGGCAGATGCACGGATAGCTGCCGATAGCCTGCAGTGACCCAGTAAAACGCTGACCTAGCGTGGCCGCTCAGAATCCCTTTGGTCAAACAGGGGGCTGGAGTTCAAAGGCCAAACAGCAAAGCGTGAGGCCTAATGGGCTGCCTGTCTGTGCTCCGCTCCGCTGAGATGGACGAGCCAGATCTGGTTTCAGAAAGTCCGGAGCAGATCGATGGTACGTACATGGCACACGAGGTGTGTGTCTGTGTGTGGTGGGGAGCCACAACAACAAGGTGCAGACAGGACAGACACATGGCTGAGACCCCAACACAGCCTGCCTGTCAACCTGCTGACCACACAGAGGATGTTCCCAAATGGGCCTAATGATGGATCTCTCCTCGCCCCATCCTGAACACAGATTCATTCACCTTCTGATAACCAACACCAACAACACACACACACACACACACACACACACACACACACACAC